CTCTTAATCTCAGCTACCGTTCCCAATTTGAATCACGTTGATTGATGAAGTATTCGCGACGCTATGGCTTTCGACGCACTAGGGGGTAAGCTGTAGGAGGAGAACTTAACTCAATCTCAAGAGTTCAATCAAAGTTCAAGAATCTCACAAGGAATTTAGAGGAGCAAGAGAAAGGTTGGGATAGAAGAGAGGGATGAGAGGAAAGGTCCCAAGAGAGTCCCCAACCAAGGAAACCCCATAAGCACAAAGATTCCCTCCCTATAGGAACCTCAACTTTGACCTTTGTCCCTTCCCAACCAATCCATCCAAGTTGGCCACCCCTTGCCAACCTAGCTTGGTTGTTCCCAACCTATTTGCAGCTGTTACAGTAGAGTGACAAGTTTACCCAACCCCAAAGGTCCCAACTCCATATAAAGTCACCCCACAACTTCACTTTGTAACCGCCGCAATTGTAACGCAAGCTCATGAACTTTGAATCTTCATAGCTTTCGCGTTCTTGCTCCGATTGAAGCGATTCTTGTTGCGTCGGAAAGATCTTCTCAAGATCTATCATCAAAATACCTGCTCAAACAAAAATAACACAGAACACATTCCCAAACTCCAGAACACACCACACACAAATTCTTTCACATTCAAACCACACATGCAAGTTGAAAACATGGGATGGGAGGCAGACAGAATGTGATAGCATATGATGACATCACACAACAATCTCCCCCTCTGGCTGCCAACCATCATCGACCATACCACATCTCAAGCATGCATACTCAATGCACACTCATCCCAGCAAGCTTCATGCCCTTCCAATGATCCGCCTCCGCCAGACGCTTAGTGAAAATATCTGCTGCCTGCTGATGGGTCTTCACTATCTCCAGCCGCACCTCCTTATCAAGGAGTCTCCTCACCCAGTGCCACTTAGGCCTTATGTGTTTTGTCAGCCCATGCAGACAAGCATTCTTGGCGAGCTTCACAGCAGACTCATTGTCACAGAACACAACTGTCGGCTCCTCCTGACCAACTCCCAACTCCTCCAACAAACGCCTTAGCCACACTACTTCCTTGGCCCCATGGTGTAAGGCCATGTACTCAGTCTCACATGAGGACAATCCCACCTCATTCTGCTTCTTGCTGCGCCAGCTCACAGCACCACCTCCTAGCAAGCACACATAACCCCCAATGCTGGTGCCATCCGCTTTCACTGAGTTGAAGCTAGCGTCAGTATAGCAACTCAAGAGCATCTTTCCACTCTTCACATCTGCAGCACCTCTCTGCAACCGCTGCCTCACTCCACTGTACTCCAATCCCACTGATGCCGTAGCACTCACATAGCGGACCAACCTCTTGGCCGCTTCCAGCTGCTCATGACTAGGACGTGAAACCACGCTAGCCAGTCGTGATGTAGCAAATGCAATGTCAGGCCGTGTATGATTTGCAGCATAATTCAGCGACCCAACCATCGAATGAAACAGCTTCCTGTCACTATCACCCACTACCTCCTCATCAGCACATGGCTCAACAGTGAACCCCGAAGGTAGTGGTGTTGCTGGCTTTCCCCCATCTTGCAGCCCATACTTTTCAGCCAGCCCCTCACAGTACTTCCTCTGGTGCAACCTCAGCACACCTTTCTCCACATCTCTCTCCACATGCATCCCCAAGTAGTACTTCACCTCACCCATCTTGGAACACTTGAACTGCATCTCTAGCATCTGCTCTGCGCTGTCCAGCAAAGCAGTTGATGCAGAAAAGAGAAGGATATCATCCACGTACACCAAGAGCATGAGGATTTCATCCTTCTCCTGCAGCAGGAACAGGCTGGGGTCACACTCACTCTTCTTGAAACCCCCAGCCAACAGCGCCTCCTCCAACTTGTGATACCATGCACGAGGCGCCTGCTTAAGGCCATAGATTGCCTTCTTCAGCCTGCAGACCCTGCCGCTCCCATCATCCAGCCCCTCTGGCTGCTTCATGTACACCTCCTCCATAATGATCCCATTCAGAAAGGCAGTCACAATATCCATCTGCCGAATCTTCCATCCCAGGAGTGCAGCTATCGCCAACAGCACCCTCAGTGTTGTTCCTTTCCCCACAGGAGCAAACACCTCATCATAGTCCTTCCCCTTTGTCTGCTGAAACCCCCGTGCCACAAGCCTAGACTTGTAGCGGGTCAGCTCCCCTTCAGGTCCATACTTGTGCCTGTAGATCATCTTGGAAGTGATTGCCTTCTTTCCAGGAGGCAAGTCACACAGGTCCCATGTCTCGTTCTCAATTAGGGACCCGAACTCCTCATCCTCACTCGCCTTCCACTTCTCCCCATTTGGTCCATTCAAGGCCTCTTCTCGAGTCTTGGGCTCAGGGATTGGTGCCCAGTAGCAGTGAGCGATCTCATCTTCCTCAATCTGCTCAACCACACTCCCAGCCTGCACCACATTCGGCTTGCCTCTTCCCCCATAGGTCAGCCTCACTGGAGGGCGCACATCCCTCCTAGGACGCTCAGGCGGGTGTGGAACTCGAGGTGGAGACTCATGCTGCTGCTGCTGCTGCTGCTCTACTTCAGCTGCTCCCCCTTCCTCAGTCACCCCAGACATCTCCTCCTCTGACACTGCAACCTCCACCTGTCTTGAAGGCTGCTGCACCTCATCTGCCTCCACAATGAGCGGTGTAGATGGAAGCTTCTGTTGCTGCTGCTTCCATTCCTTGTAGTACAGGGACTCAAGAAACTTCACATCCCTTGACACTGTCAGCTTCTGGGTGGTCAAGTCCCATAGCAGCCATCCCTTGTGATCCTTTGCAATCCCCAAGTGCACACCCCATCTTCCAGAAGCCTCCAACTTCCCTCTTTTCTCCTTAGGCACATGAAACACTACCATGCACCCAAATGCCCTCAGCATGTTCACAGCTGGAGCACTCCCATACCACTTGACATATGGGATCCACTCCTTATCTCCAACTGTAGCCAGCACCCTGTTCTTCACAAGGGCGACCTGCCTCAGTGCAGACACCCAAAACGGATCAGGCAGCCCTGCACGCCCAAGGAGAGTGCGTGCCCCCTCCTGCAGGGTCCTGTTGAACCTCTCAGCCACGCCATTCTGCTGTGGGTTGTAGGGCACTGTCAGTTGATGCTGGATCCCCTTCCTCTTCAACTCCCCCTCAAAATCAGCTCCAATGAACTCCCCACCATTGTCACTACGGATCACCTTCACCTTGTGTCCGCATTCCCTCTGAGCTCTAGGCATCCACTCCTTAAGGACAGCCGCTGCCACCTCCCCCTTGCTGTTCAAAGGGTAAACCCACACTGCCCGAGTGTGGTCATCCACAATTGTCAAGAAATAGCGGCTGCCTGAGAGGGAAGGGGCTCTTGTGGGCCCCACCACATCCATGTGCACAAGTGCAAGTGGGGTCTTGGCTGGTCCTGTTGCACTGTTGAAGGGGAACTTGGAGAACTTGGTCTCCAAGCATGTAGGGCAGCTCCCAATCTCCTTCACTTCCCCTTTCACCTCCAAGCCCTTCAGGCTCCCATTCTTCACCAACTTCTGCAGCATAGGGAAGTTCACATGACACAACCTCTCATGCCATGTCTCCCAATCGGCCTCTCCACTCCTTGATGAAGCCTTAGCCCATGCCGCACTCGCATCCACACCAGCAAGCACCTCACCATGTGTCTGCTGCTTCTGCACTTTCTTGACTGCTTCCAGGACCCCATCAGTTGGTGCAGTTGCATCTCCTCCTGCTGTTGCCTTTGCCACTGCTGCCGTTGCTGCTGTTGGAGTCTTCCCATTCCAAGGGATGATGGGCAGCTGCCACAGGTCCTTGATGCAGCTGGTCTCCTCTTCCAGACTCCACAGCACCTTCTTCCCAAGCTTAGCACGGCAGCTGGTTGGTCCAAAGGTCACTTCGGCCTTGCTCTTCTGCAGTCGCCGCACAGAGAGAAGGTTAGCAGACAAACCTTCAACTAGCAGAACATTCCCAAGCCCCACAAGCTCCCCATTAGCTCCCTTAACCTTGGCATTCCCAACGCCAATCACAGGGAGCAAAGCACCTGACGCTGCTGCCACATACTTGATCTTCCCAGGGGGTTTTACCTCATCAAGCAAATCTGCCCGTGGGGTCATGTGACTGATGCAACCCGAATCAATCACCCAGTGCATGAGAGGGTGCATCACAACCTTTCCCACAGATCCCACATCACCCTCATGCCCATGCACATCCTCAACCATAAGAAACAAACCAGGATAGGCATTACCTTGTGCACCTTCACCTTGTGCACCTGAGCCTTGCACAGCGCCACCTTGTGCGCGTTCACCACTGGGCGGCTTCATGCCTGGAGGTGCCCATCCCTCCGGCCTGCTGAAGCACTTGAACCAAGGATGCCCGACCTTCTTGCAGTACCAGCAGGTGCCCTCCATTCTGGTACTCCCCCTGCCACTGGAGCTCCCATGCCCCTCATTATAGTCACCTCGGCCTCTACCTCTGCCAAAGCTCCTCCCACGGCCTCGGCCTCTCCAACCCCCTCTTCCTCTGCCGCGCCCTGCAGCTCCATACCCCTCAGCAGTCTTAGTGGCAGCACCGCCTCCCACATGGCGTCTGCGGAAGTCCTCCTGCAGAATCTGCTGCCTTAGCCACTCAGGTGTCCATTGATCTTGCTGAGAGTTGAGGGTGGGGATGAGGTTGTCCCAAGAGTTGTCCAACACCGAGATGATCTTGGTGCACTGCTGCAGCTGAGATACACTGCTGCCCGCTGCTGCCATCCTTGCATAGGTGTCCTTGATCTTGTCAAGGACCGGCTTCACATCGTCCCCTGGTCGCATGGAGATGGCAGCAAGTTCCTTCTCGAGCACGATCACCATCAGGAGAGTGTTGGGCTGAATCACATCGCGTAGTAGTTTCCACGCCCTTGGACCCGAATCATCCGCTTCCACAAGATCCTTGATGTGCTCGAACATCTCCTTGTTGACCGATTGAAGGATGAGGTCGAAAAGCACCGTGCTTTTCTCAATCCACCGTTCACGTGCTTCGCCTTCTTCCGGCATCTTCTCTTCCCCAACAGCAATCTTCAGTAGCTTGTAGCGTTTGAAGGCACTCCTCATCCGTCCGCTCCATTCCTCATAGTTGGAGCCATCCAAAGCTTCAACTTTTGATGGCGGCGGCTCACTTGTCTTCTCAGGTACAGCTCCTCTTCCATTAGCATCTCCTCCTCTCTCATTCATCTTCTCCTTGAGAAATGACGAATTTCAGCTCCCCTTTGCTGTCCACACTCAGCTCCCTCGATATTTTCACAAGTGTCGGCGTCCACGAAATTTCGGCAGAGTTTCCCCTTAGCGGAAGACACATCCAACCTTTAGAACACCACTTAGGCACACCCACAGGCCATGGTGGGTCTAGAAGGGTCTTCAAACTTCTGTAGACTCCTCTCAATGTCCTTAATATTGCTCTGATACCACTTGTTAGGATTAAGGACAGAGTCTAGGTGAACTTAGGAGCTAGAATTACTCAAAATATAAATCCGAAATTCTGGACAGAAAAGTCGTCTTCACAAGAAACGACGTCGACAAAACACTAGCCGTTGGAATGTCGCGAAACTTGGATATGTTGTAGCTCTTGATCTCAGCTACCGTTCCCAATTTGAATCACGTTGATTGATGAAGTATTCGCGACGCTATGGCTTTCGACGCACTAGGGGGTAAGCTGTAGGAGGAGAACTTAACTCAATCTCAAGAGTTCAATCAAAGTTCAAGAATCTCACAAGGAATTTAGAGGAGCAAGAGAAAGGTTGGGATAGAAGAGAGGGATGAGAGGAAAGGTCCCAAGAGAGTCCCCAACCAAGGAAACCCCATAAGCACAAAGATTCCCTCCCTATAGGAACCTCAACTTTGACCTTTGTCCCTTCCCAACCAATCCATCCAAGTTGGCCACCCTTGCCAACCTAGCTTGGTTGTTCCCAACCTATTTGCAGCTGTTACAGTAGAGTGACAAGTTTACCCAACCCCAAAGGTCCCAACTCCATATAAAGTCACCCCACAACTTCACTTTGTAACCGCCGCAATTGTAACGCAAGCTCATGAACTTTGAATCTTCATAGCTTTCGCGTTCTTGCTCCGATTGAAGCGATTCTTGTTGCGTCGGAAAGATCTTCTCAAGATCTATCATCAAAATACCTGCTCAAACAAAAATAACACAGAACACATTCCCAAACTCCAGAACACACCACACACAAATTCTTTCACATTCAAACCACACATGCAAGTTGAAAACATGGGATGGGAGGCAGACAGAATGTGATAGCATATGATGACATCACACAACAGTAGGGAGCTCTTCCATACCCTCCTGCGTGCCTGCAACCTCCAACAGCCTCGAGGGGAGGTGGAGCAGGCGCGCACTTGGGCTCAAGCGTCCCTCCCTCCCTCCCTTGGAGGACTGGGTCTAACCGACCCCGCAATTGAGGGACACCCAGCCTACCTCACCAGCCTCACCCAAGCCCAGGGCCTCTTGGCTGCCCTCCCAGCAGCGTCAGGAGGGCCCCTGGCTGACGCTGTCCGGCACCTCACGCCACCTTTCACCAGCCCCACCCACTTGCATACCTGGCTGGCGAAGTGTGAAACGGCGATGCCCCCACGAGCCCGGGAGCTCCTGCACTCCGAGAGGAGGGAACCCTCCGGCTCCCCACTCCAACACCGCTTATCCCTCGAAGTCCAGGCCGTGCGATACGCCGGCCAGGTGGCAGCCACGCGGACAATGGACCCAAACCCACTCTCTGGGCACACCCAACGCCTCTTTTCCCTGGCTGGATATGGAGCAGGGGACTGGCTTCATGCCATCCCCATCTTCCCATCACTCCGCCTCGAAGCTCCACACTTCGCCATTGCCCTGGCCTTCCGCCTCGGCCTTCCATTCCCAGCCCCCCGCACTTGCAACTGCGCCGAGGAATTTGAAATCCTCGACACTAGGCTGCCCAACCACCTGCTCCGGTGTGGCACCGGGCACGGTCGGACTGACACCCATAATGCCCTGCGGGACGAGAGCATACGGATGGCCCGGGATGCTGACTTTATAGTCACCAAGGAGACCACCATCTACAGCCCCGTAGACGGCCACAAGGCCGACCTCGCCCTCCGAGACCGCAGTTCTGGAGCCGTCTGGATCTGTGACGTCACTGTCACAGATCCCATCAGCAGCCGGGACCCGGACGCAAGAAAAGGACGCGGATACATGGCCCGGGAGCAAGCTGACAAGAAAATCTCCCATTACCGAAATCGGGCTCCGTATGTCGGATTTTTCCCACTTGCAGTCGAGACATACGGCTGCCCATGCGCCGAGGTCCCTACCTTCTTGAAGCTGCTGGCTGACACAGGGGCCAGGAGACTTTTCAATGCGGACCCCAGCTCCTACCAGGCCGCAAAATTGCTCCACCAGTTTCGCCAACGCTGGTCAGTGACGCTGCAGCGGGCACAGGCCCTGGCTTACCTGGGGAAAGTTAATGAAGCCTCCCCTGCCCCCCACACCCCAGTGGGCACCCCTGACGCCGACATGGCACCCGGGGACTGCTTTGCCATAGCAGAGCCCCTAGGGGAGCTCGTGTAGTTTCGAGCCCCCAAACATGCACGTACCTTGCCTTGCTGCCCCTTGCCTGCCTTGCCTAGCCTGTACCCAGTTTTCCAAGCAATAAACGGACCGCTTGAGAGAGAGGGATGCCGTTTGTCAGCCCATGTCCACGCACCACTGGCCATGCTTCCCCACAGCGCCACACTTCCTGCACGCATCCATAGACGAGCATCCCCACCCACACTCCCTTGCACCCCCCAGCATCGTCCACAGCACGCAGCCCCCCCTCACCCCCACCCACGCCTCCTCCCTTTTGAGTCGACTCAAAAGCCCCATCACCCCCACCCTTTCCTTACCCCTTACCCCTTACCTCACATGCTACACGCCGCTTTCGCCTGCCCAGGCTTTTACTCTTCACTTCCCCTCTCCCCCCGTCCCGCCTCCTCCCCCGTCCTCCCCCGTCCTCCCCCGTACTCCCCCTTTTCCTCCCCCCGTCGCTCCCCCCAGGCACGTCTCTGCATGTGCTGCCTCTTGCGCAGGAGGGCGGGGCGCTGGATGGGGGGAGGTGCGAGGGGGAAGACGGGTGGTGGGAGGAGCAATGGGGAGAAGTGGGAGGAGCAGAGCAGTCGCAGGAGGTGTGTGTGATTGTATCGAGGGGTCACAGGGAGAGAGAGCGGAGGGGCAGAGGCGGGAGGAGAGGGCGATGGGAGGGCGACGAGGGTTGGGTGGAAGAGGGAGGAGAGGTGGGTGTGGCCCGTGTGGGCGGAGGCAGCGCAGCAGAACAAGCTGGAAGGAGCATGGAGCCGGCAGGCACAGGCGGAGCGGAGGAGCCAAGGGAGGAGAAGAGAGGACGGTCCGAGGATAGACCTGGGGCAGTGAGGTCAAGGCCTGCTGCTGCTGCAGCGCGTGAGACGCCACGGCTGCAAGGGGAAGAGCAGGTGGTGCTGCTGACGAAGGGCGAGGCGGGAGAGAAGCAGCGGGGCAGGGTGGAGGGGAGGAGGAATAAGCAGCAGATAGAAAGGGAGGAAGAGAAGGAAGAGAAGGGAGTGAAGGGAGAGAAGGGAGAGAAGGGAGAGAAGGGAGAGAAGGGAGAGAAGGGACAGAAGGGAGAGAAGGGAGAGAAGGGAGAGAAGGGAGAGAAGGGAGAGAAGGGAGAGAAGGGAGAGAAGGGAGAGAAGAGAGAGAAGGGAGAGAAGGCGAAGCAGAGGAGGTCAAGAGAGAGCAACCAGGGAGCGCCACCCCCTACCGACGACCCTCAGGAGCTGCTGCAGCTGGTATGGGCCAGGTGTGCGTTGGGTTGGGTGGCCTGGCCGTTTGAGAATGCACCGTGATTCTTTCACGGCTCGCTGCTTTGGCCTTGCTGGGAAGCTCACCGTGCCATGCTGCCATGGCGGTTTGGAGCAGCCGCTTCATTCACCGTATACCCTCACACACAGCCACTCCAACCCACCGGTGTGTCTGTGTGCGAAAAACCACCCCCTTTCCATTCCACCAGGCCATGTCACACATGGGCTCCAGCCAGATCCCTGCCGCTCTGGACGCGTTCAGCCGGGCTGTGGCTCTGATACCAAACGATGCGGAGGCATGGCGGCTGCACGGGTGGGGGCACAAGGAGGCCGGGAATAGACGCGAGGCAGAGGCGTGCTTCAACAGGAGCATTCAGCTCAATGAGAGGTGGGGTTGTTTTGGACACTGCGTGTGGTTGCTATGCGTGGCCGTGATAAGCTCAACTGTAACTCGTGACTCGTGAGGTATGTGGCAAGAGAGAGTTCAGAAGGGCATCCAACTTGCGCTGTGTGGATGGCTCTAAGCTGCGTGGAGTGGATGGATTTAAGCTCCGTGGATGGCTCTGAGCTCCGTGGATGGCTCTAAGCTCCGTGGATGGCTCTAAGCTCCGTGGATGGCTCTAAGCTGCGTGGATGGCTCTAAGCTGTGTGGATGGCTCTAAGCTGCGTGGATGGCTCTAAGCTCCGTGGTTGGCTCTTATGTATCTCTGTGGATGGCTCTAAGCTTCCATCCCCCTCTTCCCCTCCCCCCAAAACATGTTTCACACGGGCTTCTGTCCCAACATGACCATGGTTCTTTTCGCCAGCTATCCCTACCGCCGCACCTCCAGCACCCTAGCCAGCTCAACTCCCCTCCTCCTTTTCTCTTCCCGCGCTGGTTCCTGGCAGTTTCCTGCCTGCGTTGATCAACTGGGTGGAGCTGAGGCACATCGCAGGCGACCACAGGTGAGGATGGGGGGATGGGGAGGGGGAGGGGGAGTGGGAGAGGGGGGCGCTGGTGCACTTGAGGGCAGGCGACCCCAGGTGAGGGCGGAGGAGGGGGAGGGGGGGGGGGGATGGAGGGACGCATGCTTGAGTTGGTCGAAGAGACAGGCAGGTTGGGCGAGGGGAGGCATGATCTGCCGCGTTGATCAACTGGGTGGAGCTGAGGCACGTGGCAGGCCAGCATAGGGGAGGGCAGGGAGGGGTTGGGGCGCTCAACTTCATCTCAACCTGTTACCTCCTCACCTCCATCCTGTCGTATATCCAAGCGTGGCCCGCCGTATGATGACCTGCCTGTTTCCCATATCCCCATATCGATCCCCGCCTGACGTATGACCACCTTATCTGTGGCGCACACCGCTATGCCTATGTGCCCCCGAAACCAACCTTCGTTTGTTCTTCAGGGGCGCGTTGGAGCTGTTGGAGGGGGCGTTGCAGCGCCACCCGTCCAGCGTGCAGCTCAGATACCTCGAGGCGTCCAGCCACCTTGCTGTTGGGAACTTTGTATCTGCTGTAAGATAATTCTATTTGTTGGAAAGTCATAACGAGCCTCTATAACGAGCACACATGTGCAGCACTCTCGCAGCAACCTCGATCCTTGGTTGGAGCCTCGTGTATGCTTCTGCGCCTCAGCCCACTTCTCCTCCCCTCCCACCCCTCTCCCTCCGCCACCCCTACTGCCCAGATCACTCTGTGCAACGACATCCTCACACTCACACCGCTGCAGCACGAGCAGACCTACTTCTTCCTTGCCTTCTACCATGTAAGCCTTCTACAACGTAAGCCTGCTGTCTGCGCTCGTGCAAGTCTGCGGAGCATCCTAAAAGCGACAAGTGGCACAAATCAAATCACAGCACATCTTTGAGTCGACTCAAAAGTCAAGCTGCCAGCATCAGGTTGTCTGGTCTGATGCGCGTCAAATCATGGCTTGGGTGTTGGTGTGTTCTCCAGCTGTAAGTGAGGAGGTCTCTGAATGCTGCACCTGCGCCGGTTCGAAGCCATGTGAGCATGTACATCCCAGTCGTGGCGCCATGGTGGCACGTCCATTCGTGCATGCGTGCATGTGCTGCATGCCTGCGTGTGCATGCTTGCATGTGCTGCGTGCCTGCGTGTGCATGCGTGCATGTGGTGGCAGAGGGAGGTGGCAACGCACATGGCCATGACCATCAACGACCCCTTTGCTGACTTCAGCATCAACCACAATTTCAACGGCATCTTCAAGGTTTAACAGCGTCTTCAAGGTTTAACAGCGTCTTCAAGGTTTAACAGGATCTTCAAGGTTTAATAGCATCTTCAAGGTTAATAGCATCTTCAAGGTTTAGCAGCATCTTCAAGGTTTAACAGCATCTTCAAGGTTTAACAGAATCTTCAAGGTTGCAGTGCTTTTTATGCATCCACTCTGGAAGCTGAAGTGCGCAAGTGTAATCCACCCAGCCCCAGTGGTGCTTTCCTGCATCAAAGCAGCCTTGTCTCTCCCCTCTCCTCTCTCCTCTCGCAAGTGGCCCATACATTGATGTAACCCTGGGCACAAGCTAGGCAAGCGGTCCCTCTCCCCTCTCTCTTTCCCTCGCTTGGCAGGAGGGGTGGGCGAGCGTGTTCCATCCAGCATCCGTGGTGCAGCAGGGCTACGCCTTGCTCGACGACTACCCCTCAATCGCCTCCTCCCTGCAGCGCCGCCAGCTGATGCTCGTGCAGCGAGCTCAGGAGGAGGCGGAGGAGGAGGAAAAGGCTCGGAGGAAAGCGAAGAGGGCAGGGAGGAATAGAGCAGGGGCAGGGGAAGGGGCAGGAGCAGGGGTCTCTTTGGCTGCCAGGCGAAAGGAGCTGCTGAGGTGGGCGGATTCGATTGGCCGACACGTGCATTACAACGTCACGGGGTTTGTTGCGAATCATAGGCAGCAGAGGGCGGCAGGGCTGGCAGCACTTGAGATAATGCAGACCGTGAGGAAGGCATGGGGCGAGTGGATGGGGAGGGGGCGGGTGGCGAGGGGCCTCAATGTGGAAGAGGTGGAGGAGGGGGTGGGGGTGGGGTGGCGAGACGTGTATGGCATTGGCGTGAGATGGAGGCAGATTGCGGAGCCCAACGACCCCATCGTGTGGATCGACGGGCTCACGTGAGTCACTTTGACCAATGGCTTGATAATTCTTATGTACATGGGTGGTTGAACCCAACGACCCCATCGTGTGGATCGACGGGCTCACGTGAGTCATTGACTCATCACCATACTGGTGAATTATTGGGGGGGATGACTTGACTGAGTGCAGACACTTCCTGCTCCCCCGAGTATCCACTTAGTATCACGACCAGAAGCCAGTCCTTGGCTCTTCTCCGTTCCTGCGCAGGCGGCAGTCATTCGAGAGGGGCTTTGGGGCGACCACGCCCATGGTGTCCGCGGGCACGCACAACATCCGATACGGCATGAATGCCCCACGGTGCGCCTCATTCTCGTTCTTCATCTCATCTGCATCCCCATCCTGCGTTCCTCGTTTCTTGGTCTTCCAAACCCTAAACCCGAAATCCTAAACGCTATACTCGTATCATATCGTCTTCCCACATACCTGCACCCGTCCACCCGCAAGCAGGGCTCTGGCGATGGTGAAGTCAATAATTCTGGAGCAGCGCAAAGTGTACCGCGGGGGGTACGAGGAGATCGTGCTCTCCGCCCAAGCGCTGCAGCAGGTGAGCATGTGTTATCGTGTGGTGCACGCGGTAGTACTGCAAGTAGGTGTAAGGAGGGGGGTACGCGGTGGTGCATTTGTTATCGTGCTCTCCGCCCAGGCAGTGCAGGAGGTGAGCCTTGGAGTCATGAACATAGGAGCATTTATCAACTTTGCCCTCTTTTTTTTTTTACTACCAACCAGACTATCAAGTCCTGACAGTTTCTTCTCTCTTCTCTTCTCCCTTCATCCTCTCCTTTTCCTTACTTGCCTCCCCTCCTCCCCTGGCCTTGCATCAGCTGGCTATTTTTTAGAATTCTCAAGGTATTTTTGCAGGGTATTTTTGAGAATTCTCAAAAACAGCCTTGGAAGACACACACCCATCTATGGCACGCAGTGCACCAGCCATTCTTCGTCGTATGTGTGCTTTCCGTGGCATCCTGTATCATTTCTCCTCTCCCCTCCTCCCCTCTTCCCCTCGCCCCACCCATCAGGTGGCAGCAGCCACGGATCACACCCATCTATGGCAGGCGGTGCAGCAGCCATTCTTCGTCTTCACGCCCTGCCAGAGCACTGCATTCCCCAAGTAAGCCCTTCAAACGTCACGTCACCCTTCCACAAGTGAGCTGTCATTGCGTGGCCTCCCCTCACGTCTCTTCTCTATCTGCTTCTATTCCCAACCTGCCCCTATTCCTGCAGCAAAACACTCAACGGCACTCGCCTTGCATTCTTGGTCAGGTGAGCTTTTTTCTATTGGTCTTCAAAAGTCATTTTTACCTTTCTCCTGAAGCTGATTATCCGTTCTCCCTCCTTGGAATGTAACTTCTCTTATCTGTATGCAAGACGATTTTAATTCCCTCCCCCCCCCAGGCCGTACGGCGTGGAGTTCCTGATTGAAACGGTGCTCACGCCCAATAGGTGGAGCGAATTCGATGCAGAAATGGCAGCTTCCTGGAAGGTTCGCTCCAAATGCTTGCCGTGTGTAGTTAAATGCACCAGAGCACTTGGTGTCTGATCTGTATGGCTTGCTATAGCTGACGCTCGGTTTTCTTTCACCCCTATAAAGCTCCTTTCTGCTCACTCACATTCAATTTCCTTACTCACAAACAGCTGCTTCTTCCTCACTTGCCTTTTCAAAGCAACGCCCATTCCAACACTTGGTCTCCTGATCTGTGTCCGCCTCTCATCCATCTCACCCCTCTCCACCCCTCTCCACCCCTCTCCACCCCTCTCCACCCCTCTCCACCCCTCTCACCCCTCTCTCTCTCCACTTCAGGCCATCCGCCTGGCAGCGATGCGTGAGGAGTCTATTTTTTAGGCGCCTCAAAAATAGCCTCCTGATCTGTGTCCGCCTCTCTCGCCTCTCTCGCCTCTCTCACCTCTCTCACCTCTCTCACCTCTCTCACCCCTCTCACTCCTCTCTCTCTCCACTTCAGGCCATCCGCCTGGCAGCAGCAAACACGTCTCTTCGGGATGCTGACCTCCCCGCCTACCGCAAGGCAGTTCAAGACAGCATACTGCGCATGGCGTACTACTGGTATGGTGTTGAGATGAGACGGTTAACGTGTTAAGTTCAACGTGTATTACGTCTGGAAAGGAACTCGTAGTGTGTGATCAATAAGGAAGAATGGTGTGCCAGTGGTGTTTCAGAATTTTCAAAAGCCATGAGATTTGAGCCTTGAACGGTGATGTCCGACTGGTGTTGCCACAGCCGTGTCTCGCCTGCTGCTGCCCTCCACCCACCCTCCCACCCACCGACCCATTAATCACATCCGCTCCCTGTTGCCACATCCGTCCGTCCATCCATCTACCCACGCAGGTACAACTTCATGCCCTTAGCCCACAGACAGCCACGACCAGCCATGACACTTCCTCTGTTGTTGTTTCAATTTAGACTCATTCTACCTATTCATCAACGCCTCAATGCATGCATCACAGGTACAACTTCATGCCCTTGGCTCGAGGCACGGCCATGACAGGCCACGTCATCACCCTCGGCCTTCTCCTCGCCATCGACCTCCACGCTGTCAAGCCAATTCCACCGGGTGTCCAGGTGCGTTGCATGACGGCTTAGTTGCCGAAATGCGTACATTCTGAACACGCTTGGAAGCGCCTTTTACTAGTCTTTTTCTGCCTCTCATTGGTCGTCCGTCCTTACCTAGCTCTTAAAAATAAAAGATCTTCAAATAGAAACATGTGGAGGAACCGGGCTTCCTGCTACCCTACCTGTGTCTCAGTGGAGACCGCTGTCAAGCCAATTCCACCGGGTGTCCAGGTGCGGTGAATCAGGAGTAGGGTGCGAAAGCTACAACATAGAAGCGCATATGCTTTTGCTGCCTATGCGAAGGTTCCGTTTCCTCAACTCTGTGCGTGTCTGTGTATGTGCATGTGCTCCTATGTGTGCTACGTGCGTCTGTGCATGTGTGTGTGTGCACGTGGGTGTGCGCGTGTGGGGTGGTGTGTGTGTGCATGAGCCTGCACATGCATGGGTGTGCGCGTGCAAGCACGATTGACAGGTGGACTGGGAGTCCATCCTGTGCCCCTCGGCCGCCCTCTTCCTCCACTCCGTCTCGTCCTGGCTCTACCCCTCTCTAGCTCACTCCCCCCACCTGAAAGACCTTCTAAGTGTTGAAGAGGCGTTTCCCTCCCTGGGTGACGTCATTGAGGTGTTGAGTGAGCTGGTGAAGGAGGGAGAGGAGAGGGAGAAGGAGGGTGAAGAGGAGGGGGGGGAAATTGTAGATGAAAAAACCGGCAGGACAGATACAGGCTCAGGCAGTGGGGGGGAGGAGAAGGATGAAACCCGTGGGAAGAGGAACAGTGGCAATGCGGCTGGTAGTAGGACAGATGATAGGGAGGGGGGTGGTTCTGAGCAGAGAGAAGAGAGTGAGAGCGGGAGAAGGGGAAGGAGAGGGGGACGAAGGGCTCAGAGGGAAAAGGAGAGAAGGGAGAGGGAGGAGAAGTTGAGGGAGGAGGAGAGGTTGAGGGAGGAGGAGGAGAGGGAGGAGAAGAGAGTGAGGGAGGACAGGGAGAGGAAGGAAAGGGAGAGACAAGAAGACGAGAGAGAAGGAAGGGAAAGGGAAGAGAGGCGGATGGAGGGAAGGGAGGGAGAAAAGGCGAGAGAGGAGAGAGAGCGGGAAGAAAGGAAGCGAGACGAAAGGGAAGGGCAGGAAAAATCAAAGAAGACAAGGGCGGATGGGAGGGAGAGAAACGGGGAAGGAGGGGAAGTAGAGATAAAAAGCAAGGGAGCAGGGGAAGAGAGTAGGCGGTCAAAGGAGAGTGATAAGCGGAGAGAGGCAGGTGATGGTGATGGTGGTGGTGATGGCGATGCTGATGGTGTGGTGGATGGGTCCAGAGGCGGCAGAAGCTTGGTTGACCAAGAAGCAGGCAACACTGGCGAAGGTGAAGTGGGGGAGGGGAGCGAGAGGAGAGCGAGGGGAAGGAGGGAACGTAGAGAGGAGAGGAGATTGCGGAGGGAGAAGGGAGAAGAGAAAGAAGAGTTGGGGGATGGTGTGAAGGGGCAGGGGGACGAGGAGAAGGGGCAGGGGGATGTGAGGGAAGGCACAGCGGGCGATTCTGTTAATAAGGAGAAGGAAGTCAGTCGAGCGAAGATAGTGAAGGAGAAAGCAGCACAAAGGGACAAGGCAGCACGAGGGGACAAGGCAACTGCAGAGTCCAAGCAACATTCGGCCACGGGAAAAGCTGGTGGCCATCCAAAGCGCCGGAGGAATAGCGACATGACCCTAGAAGCAGCGATTGGGATGGTGAGCATGTAACCCCCATGTGGGCTTGTGCTCACAGCTTTTCTTCGCCGTCTACACTTCCAGCATTTGTAGATTCTTGGCAACTTCAGTCAATCTCGCATGCATGCTAAGCTTTGCCGTGTTTTCACTCCCCAGCATCCCTCTTCCGCGTAACTTGATCCGTGTGCTCTCATCTTTTTCCCCATGTGCCCTCATCTTTTTCTCCGTGTGCTCTCATCTTTTTCTCCGTGTGCTCTCATCTTTTTCTCCGTGTGCTCTCATCTTTTTCTCCGTGTGCTCTCATTTTTTTCTCCGTGTGCTCTCATCTTTTTCTCCGTGTGCTCTCATTTTTTTCTCCGTGTGCTCTCATCTTCTTCTCCGTGTGCTCTCTTCTTCTCCATGTGCTCTCATCTTTTTCTCCGTGTGCTCTCATCTTTTTCTATGTGTGCTTGTTCCCGTGTGCACCTTGGCAGGCCCAAGCCGGCAACTACGAGGGTGCAGTGGGCGCATTCGCAGAGGTTCTTTCACACCGTCCTGAGTCCTGTCTCTCAACCCCTGCCTGAGTCCTGTACCTTCTATCCTCGTTATTGCAGCCTTCGTTCATGTTCAAGTCACTTTCATCTTTGGGTGCGTCCTATCACTTGTCTAGTGATGCGCTTTACTGCACCTGACATTCTTTAAAACCAATGTTGATCGTTCCAACCCGCTGTCCCTGTATAGTTTCGTTATTCTCTTAGCATTTTCATCACTCAAACCTATCTCTCTTACCCCCTTCACCCCTGACTTCCACTCAACCCACATCCGGTTTCTCCCTCCGTGCCTCCCTCCCCCTCCTCTCCTCCTCCGCCGCACCCCGCACCAGCTGGAGCGGCAGGGCGAGGAGGATTCAGCAGGGCTGCTCGCATGGAGGGGCGCAGCCAACGTTCTCACAGGCCGCCACGCGGAGGGGATTCGCGACATCACCAAGGTGCGGCACTGTGGATGTTGGGTGGAATGTGTGACGTGAAACCACTGACACCGCACTGCAGTGGCCGGTTCAGCCAGGAAGAATGCATGACCGTCACCACACTGCAGTGACCATAAGTGCGTGATTATTTTATTTACACTCTTCTTGTGCTTCTCCACTTCACCTGCCTCTCTTTCTCCCTCCTGTCGTTGCTGTGTCCTCCTATGGTTGCGTTGCGCGTCAGGCCCTCACGCTCATCCCGCCGGATTTGCCCATCTACCACAATCTTCTGAATCACCGGGCCGTCGCCTACGTCAAGCAGCAGCGATTCAAAGAGGTGGGGCACCGAAGCAGTGGTGCGCATTTGAATTGGAGAAGTAGCAGCGAGGTGGACATTCATAGAGAGAGAACTGAAAATATCCCACTATGCTTGGTTCAGATGGCAACGCAACAAGCAGCTGGGTCAGTATCGGTTTTTGCAGCTGGTTCTTCTTTTCAGGAGCGTGTGCTACTAAATGCCTCGCTCTGCTGTTAAACGCCTCGCTCTGCTGTTAAACGCCTCGCTCTGCTGTTAAATGCCTCGCTCGCCCATGCGTTGTCAGTATCGGCCAGAGTAGATGACCTGCCAGCAGTGGATGACCTGCCAGCAGTAGATGACGTGCCAGCAGTAGATGACCTGCCAGCAGTAGATGACCTGCCAGCAGTAGATGACCTGCCAGCAGTAGATGACCTGCCAGCAGTAGATGACCTGCCAGCAGTAGATGACCTGCCAGCAGTAGATGACCTGCCAGCAGTAGATGACCTCCCAGCAGTGGTCAAATGAACTAGCTCCGCACGTGCTGCTGCTGTGTGCAACTGTTGCTGCTGCGTGCCACCCATGGTGATGTGTGCATGCTGCTGGGGCAGGCCATTGCTGACTGGACGACCATCGTTGATGCAAGCCCGAGTAACGTTGCTGCCATTCGCGAGAGAGGTGAGCCAAACTCATGAGTGGCCTGCCGATCCAGACAACATTTGGTGGTGCGGTGAAACATGGCGCCACAGCTTTGATGCGATTGCACACGGTTTGAATCCTTCGGACCTGGAGAGACATGGTAAGAGAAGTAAGATCACTTTCTTTGTCTGTTACTACTCCCAGTGTTTGCCTGTTTCCCATTGCTGCTGACGCCGCTCAGCACATTGCAACGCTCACAACAACCCACATCTAAGGTCGATCTCTTTTCATTCTTACTGTGTTCAACGATGCTCTATAGCGGCTTTTCTCTTGTGTGGCAGGCATGGCTCGTGTGAACCACAAAGCATTCAAAGATGCGATTCCCGACCTCACCACCGCACTGCACCACTCTCCACACGAGCTGCGCCAGACCCTCCGACTCTTCCTGGTATGCAGCAATAACCCGGTGCGTCGTCGTGTGTCTTGGTGTGTAGTCCGGATTGATTCTTCATCACTGAGCGCGCCCAGTGAGGCCGGCCGTGCGTCAGTGATATGGGGGCGTAACCTCATTTGCTTTAGTGATATGGGGGCGTAACCTCATTTGCTTTTGAGTTATGTCTCTTGCTCTACACCTGATGCTGCCTGCCTTCCTGCCCTCACTTCGCTCCCTCCTTTCAAATCCCCACACTCCTTCCCTCACGCCCTTAGGCCAAGGCACTATCCCACATGGGGCGAGGGGCAGAGGCAGCAGTAGCACCGCGAGGGGCTTCTGCACTGAGCTCATGTGGTGCCCTGCCACCTTTTTCCTCCCCATTCTCCCACTCCCCCTCCCCACGCCCTTAGGGAAAGGCGCTCTCCCACATGGGGCAGTGGTCCGAGGCAGCAGCAGCGCTGCAAGCCGTGGTGAACGCGGAGCCGCAGCGGTTCGAGGCGTGGCGCGTGCTGGGGGACATACGTAGGGACTCGGGGGAGGTGGGGGAGGCGGAGAGATGCTATGAGAATGCTCTTAAACAGCGGCCCAGGTAAGGAGGGTGGCAGTGGGTTTTAAGCGTGTTGGGGGACGTGCGAGAGCGATATGAGGGAGGCGGGGCAGGTGGGAGGTGCTATGGGAATGCGCTTAAAGAGCGGCCCAGGTAAGGAGTGGCAGCGTATGGATGTGTGGCGCGTGCTGGGGGACGTGCGGCGAGACCTGGGAGAGGGGGGGGAGGCGGAGAGGTGGTATGATATTGCAATCACAGAGCGACCCAGGTATGGAGCGGAAGAGGGTGGAGGCATGGGGCGTGCTGGGGGACGTGTGGAGAGACGTGAGGAAGGCAGGGGAGGTGGAGAGGTGGTGTGGGAGGGCTCTTGGAGAGAGGCCCAGGTAGGGTGGCGAGAGTGGGGGGAGGGGTTGTAGGAGGTATAGAAGTGGGGGAAGATGATTGGGGGATGGAGGGAGGGAGGGGGGGAGGGAGGGAGGGGGGGGGGAGGGAGGGAGGGAGGGGGGAGGGAGGGAGGGGGGAGGGAGGGAGGGAGGGGGGGAGGGAGGGAGGGAGGGGGGAGGGAGGGAGGGGGCAGCTCACTTCTTCTTCCAGCAGCTCACTTCTTCTCCACCCTTTCAGTGCCCACCTCCTCACCTCTTCACCTCGCCAGCTCTTCACCTTTTCGCATTTGAACGCTTGCCCTTTCTGACGACTACCTCATTCCGCCCTCCACCCTCTCCCCCCCTCAATGCACCCTCTCCCCCCTCAATGCACCCTCCTCCCCCTCAATGCTCCCTTTCCCCCCTCAATGCACCCTCCTCCCCCCTCAATGCACCCTCTCCCCCCTCAATGCACCCTCCTCCCCCCTCAATGCACCCTCTCCCCCCTCAATGCTCCCTCTCCCCTCTCAATGCACCCTCCTCCCCCTAAATGCACGGTGCCGCAGTGATCTGCCCACGCTGCAGTCATGGGCGAACCTGCTGCGATCCATGGGCCAACACAGGTGGGTGGAGTGCGGTGCACCTGGGTGCCTGTGAACAGTGCGTGCCCTTGTAAGCCTCTGAACTATTGGGGGGCTATATGTACACTGTTGTGGTTTGTATCGCTACTCATTTTGCTTTTGTGCCGCTGTTCATGGCGTCACTCTTTGTGTCGCTCTTTGTGTTGCGGTTTTCCTCTGTGTGCTGCAAGCCAGGGACGTGCTCAGCCTTCTCCTGAAATACCTCCCCCACCACCCGGCTGACGTGGAGCTGCGCTATTGGCTGGCCTCTTCCCACCATGCCCTAGCTGATATCCCCAAAGCTGTAAGCCGGAAGAGTCAGCAGCCTCAGCCGCAGCGTGGTGTTGGTCTAATTATCATACATCGTTCTACGGCTGTCCGTGCTCTTCTGCCAGTCAGCACACCTGACACTCTCAGTCACTCCTCAAATAGGTGGCCGAGCTCAGCTCATCCCACCTTTTCCTACCTAAACCCTCTTCAGCCAACCCAAGAACCCATCTGGCTGGTGGTGTTGGGTTGCAGGTTGACGCGTACAATCATGTGCTGGAGATGCAGCCTCGTGACCACAGTGCGCGCCAGAGCCACGACATGGCATTCTATCAGGTGCGCGGGGATGGGATGTGGTGGGGTGGGGTGGGATGGGCGGAATGCGTGTGAGGCAGGAGTTCACCTTTTGTGCGAGCTTGCTGTGTGTCTTCCTTCCTTGACTCACTTGCATGTCATGCTGCATGATGCATGCTGCATGTCGCATGGCGTGGCAGAGGGAGGTGGCGATCTACATGGCAGCAAGTATGGAGCAACCCTTCGACCAATTCAGCATTGATGATCACTTCCCCCCTCTCTTCAAGGTGTGCATCCCTCCTCTTTTCAAGGTGTGCATCCCTCCTCTCTTCAATCTACCCGTGAGCTCACTTCCCTCTTACGCCTGCTGGAATGGAATGCTATCTCTTGCGTTGTTGCATTACTTGGACCCCTCAAAAGCCCTGCTTCTCCCATCTCACCTCCCACGAAAACCCCTCACCAGGAGAGCTGGTCGTACCGCTACCCACCAGCCGCCGTTCTGAAGAAAGGCCATGCACCCACGACCTTTCTCTCCACCTGCCTCTCTCTCTCCGCCCACTCTTCTCCCCCTCCCCCCTTTCCCTCCGCGCCCCCTCGTCAGGAGAGCTGGTCGTACCGCTACCCACCAGCCGCCGTACTGAAGGAAGGCTATGAACCCACGGCGCTGCCTGCTTCAGATGGGCGGGCCCAACGCAGCAGCACCTGCAGTGGCAGGGGCGAGGGAGCACGGCCGGGTGCTGCCCAAGTGGAGACTGTGGATTGGGCGGACAGGCTGGGCAGTTTGATTCAGTACCACTGCACGGGGTTCCTCTCAAACAATCGCCAGGTGAGGGGTTCAGTTGTATTTTGAGTCGACTCAAAATACTCCTGCCAAACAATCGCCAGGTGACAGGTTCAGGATTCAGTGAAATTCGAGAGTGCGATCCAGGTGTTTCCATTTACGCCTTCGCTGCACCAACCACAGCGTCCTCGTTTGCATATGCAAGCAAATTACTTGATCTGAGAGTGCAATGCAGTCTTAACCCATTCCATGTCCCTCAAATCGCACTCCTCTCCTCTCTTCCACTTCCCTTCATACACGATGCAGCAAAGAGCAGCGGGGCTGGCCATGCTGGCAATCATGCAGGCACTCAGGCACAAGTGGTCCCGGCTGCTGGCCTCCTTGTCTCAGCCACGCAGTGCCAGCAGTGATGCTTATGTGGCGCTGACATGGCGCGATGTGTACTCCATGGCTGCCAGGTGGCGGCAGGTGGCGGAGCCGTCGGATAAAGTGATGTGGTCGGACCGATACACGTGAGTGGGTTGCTGATGGGGATGACTCCGTTTAGGGTTACCACCCCACTGACTGCTGACATTAGTCTTTGGTTTGCGATTCTTGACGTGGGAGTCGCTGCTTGGGTGTGGCAGGGAGACTGGGTTCAACAAGGGCGTTATCTCAAGTACCCCTATTTCATACGGGCAATCGCTCAACACCAAATACGGGGCATACACGGACAGGTACAGCCGCTTGCAGTTCAACAGATCGAGCAAGCCGTTCATTAGTTTGCACTTGCACGATCGAGTCAAACTTTAAGTTTTTTCCCCCTGATCGTGTGCTTGTTTCTGTGCGTGTGTATGCGCGCGCGCGTGCATATGTGTGCGGCAGAGCGTTTGGGATCCTGAAGCAGCTGGTGCTGCAGCGAGGAGTGGTGAAGGCAGAGGATGGCCGGGTGGAGATTCCGCTCTCCAAGGCAGTGCTCAGAAAGGTGGGCCCCGCATGGTTGCAAGGGGGTAAACAGGGGTGTGTTGGGTTTGCACAAGGACGCATGCTTGTTAGCCTGCCTGGCGGCAGACAGGCGCGTGCTTGCGTTTGCACGAGGACGCATGCTTGTTAGCCTGCCTGGCGGCAGACAGGCGCGTGCTTGCGTTTGCACGAGGACGCATGCTTGTTAGCCTGCCTGGCGGCAGACAGGCGCGTGCTTGCGTTTGCACGAGGACGCATGCTTGTTAGCCTGCCTGGCGGCAGACAGGCGCGTGCTTGGGTTTGCACGAGGACGCATGCTTGTTAGCCTGCCTGGCGGCAGACAGGCGCGTGCTTGCGTTTGCACGAGGACGCATGCTTGTTAGCCTGCCTGGCGGCAGACAGGCGCGTGCTTGCGTTTGCACGAGGACGCATGCTTGTTAGCCTGCCTGGCGGCAGACAGGCGCGTGCTTGCGTTTGCACGAGGACGCATGCTTGTTAGCCTGCCTGGCGGCAGACAGGCGCGTGCTTGCGTTTGCACGAGGACGCATGCTTGTTAGCCTGCCTGGCGGCAGACAGGCGCGTGCTTGCGTTTGCACGAGGACGCATGCTTGTTAGCCTGCCTGGCGGCAGACAGGCGCGTGCTTGGGTTTGCACGAGGACGCATGCTTGTTAGCCTGCCTGGCGGCAGACAGGCGCGTGCTTGCGTTTGCACGAGGACGCATGCTTGTTAGCCTGCCTGGCGGCAGACAGGCGCGTGCTTGCGTTTGCACGAGGACGCATGCTTGTTAGCCTGCCTGGCGGCAGACAGGCGCGTGCTTGCGTTTGCACGAGGACGCATGCTTGTTAGCCTGCCTGGCGGCAGACAGGCGCGTGCTTGCGTTTGCACGAGGACGCATGCTTGTTAGCCTGCCTGGCGGCAGACAGGCGCGTGCTTGCGTTTGCACGAGGACGCATGCTTGTTAGCCTGCCTGGCGGCAGACAGGCGCGTGCTTGGGTTTGCACGAGGACGCATGCTTGTTAGCCTGCCTGGCGGCAGACAGGCGCGTGCTTGCGTTTGCACGAGGACGCATGCTTGTTAGCCTGCCTGGCGGCAGACAGGCGCGTGCTTGCGTTTGCACGAGGACGCATGCTTGTTAGCCTGCCTGGCGGAAGACAGGTGCGTGCTTCAGTTTGCACAAGGAGGCATGCACGTTAGCAAGGAGTGGTGAAGGTGGAGTACGGCCGGGTGGAGACTCCAAGGCGGCTCTGACGAAGGTATAGGGCCATTCTCTACATGTGCATGCATGCGTTTGAGCAACAGAATGGTGGCGTGCAGGGCAGGTATCATCTTCTTGCTGCCAAGTATTTAATTTTGTTCCACAGTGCGTTGAAGCGGCATCGAGATATGTCCTCTCCACTCCCAAGTGCTGTACACAAATCCATATGTCCACTGCCATCTAATCCCGTCCTACCCCAAACCATCGCATCTCAATGCACCCATCTTCACCGCGCTGCATCTCACTCCAGGCTCGAAAGGCCAGCAGCCACACGCAGCTATCCCAGGCAGTGGGCCCATCCTTCTACACCCCTCTTCTCATCCCCAGCACCGCACAACCCGGGTACGAAAACGGACCATCCAATCGTCACCACCGCACAACCCGGGTACGAAAACGGACCATCCAATCGTCACCACCGCACAACCGGGGTACGAAAACGGACCATCCAATCCTCACCGACCATCCAATCGTCACCACTGCAGAATCCGGGTGGGAAAAAACGCTTCTTTCAGCACTTTCTCCTCTTCTTCGTTTCTTTTGCACCTATCCGGTGCATCCCATAGGTGGGCAATTCTTTCCAGCTGCCTATCGCTGGCTGACTGCATGTGTGCGTGAAGGCCAGCTCGTGCCTTTGGGAAGGGTAGGGCTGGCAATAGTGCAGCTTCCTCCATTTACACACTCTTGGAGAAGCTGAATACCCCAGCCCAGCGCATGGTGTCGATCCCCATTGTGTTCCCCTGTAGGTGTGCAGGCTATTCCGTGAGAGCGTGTTTGTGCCTTTGTGCATGCATGTGTGTGTGAGTGTGTGAGAGCTCACACATGCGTGTGCAAGGGTGCATGCTGATTCCCATTTATGTAATTTTTGTGCCCCTTCTGATTCCCAGGAAGCTACTGGAAGGCACACGGATATCTGTGTTTCCCACTCCCGAGTAAGTTCATTCAACCCTTCCCAGCTCCCACTCACTGATATATCTAAAGCTACTGGTGGAATTGAAGTCTTTGCCCTTGCCCTTTTGCCCTGATTCTCCCTTCTCTCCCTGCTGTGGCTCCGCGCCTCACGCACTCCCTTCCCCCGTGCACCCGTCTCCCCTTTCTCCGCAATCTCTCCCACTCTTGACTTTCCCCCCTCCCCATTCTCCCACCTTTCCCGGCCGGGTCCCAACTCATCCTTTTCCCCGCTCCCTACCGTCCCCATCCCCCCCAACCTCACCCTTCCGCCCCCAGCTCACCTGAGCCCGAGCTGGCCATCGAGCTCATGCTGAAGCCGGAGCGGTGGAGGGAGTACGAGACGGAGATGGACGCAGCCTGGCAGGTGAGAGCAGGTTGGAAAGGGATCAAGGGGCTGAAGGGATCAAGGGTGTGAAAGACAGATGAGGGCGAGCATGGTGGAGTTGTTTTTTTTTCTCATCTTTGAGATTAATGATGGACCAATCGTCTCTGCACTCAGCCTGTCAGTGTGGTGTGGAGTTTTCAGAAGGGGCAACTGAGCGTTTGCTTCTGCATTCGTGAAGGTGTGTGCATAGTATTTTTTTGTGATGTCAAGTGTTTCTACTTACTTTGTGCAAGGCTGTTGCTTGGAACGCCATGAATACGAAATTATCTTGTAGTCATGTGATCATCGCGCTCTAACTGAATGGCACAGAGACGGTATGTGTCATTCTTACTGTTTGAGGTTGATATTTGCAGGCACAAATAAACGCTACGTAACACCTTCAAATCTGACAATTTTGTTTCCAACCTAGCTACTTGCAAGTCAAGCATGGCTTTCTCAACCTGATTAATTGGGCAAGATGTGATTGACATCTTCATAACCGATAGGTCAATCAGGTTGAGAACATCATCTTGTCTTGCCAGTGGCTAGGTGGAGAACACAGTGCCATATTTGAAGGACGCTATATAGTGTTCACTTGTGCCTGCAAGTATCAGACTCAAACCGTAAAATTTGCACGTGCCTTGTCCCTGCCATTCAGTCGGAACGTGACAATTACATGACTGCGAGATGATTCCGCATTCATGGCAGTCCCTGCAACATCCCTGCACGATGAAGACGAAAGCATAAAACCACCTTTTGCAGGAATCAGAAACAGTAAGGTGCACTTGACATTATTGTTTAAAAATCATGCCTCTCCAATGCGTATACAAGAAGTCAAGTTGTAATTTCCATAGATTTCACTGTAACAATGGTGAGGTCAGGAACTGTTCGGTCTTCCACCATTTTAAAAAACATTGTAACGCTCTTGTTGGTGCCTTCATGTTTCTTTCTCGGCTGAGGCCCGACTTGAAGATGAGAGTGATGAGGTATCCTGGTCGGCGTGACAAGGGGAAAGTGGGCTGCTCATGGGTGGCATGGGACCTTCATTGACAGCATGCAAACTTCTTTCTTCCCTCATCTCCCTTGTCCATTGCAGCTCTTTTTCTCTCATCTTCTTCTCCCACCTCAGTCCTCTTGCATCCCTGCCTCTCCCGATGTCTGCCTCTCACACCCCTCTCCTATCGCCAGGCCATCTGCCTGGCAGTGACAAACACGTCCCTTCGGGACTCTGACCTCCCGGCCTACCGCAAGGCAGTTCAAGACAGCATACTGTGCATGGCGTACTACTGGTATGGCAAATAGTACTGGCGTGTATTGCTTGTACAAGTTCCCAATGGACCATAAACACTGCTGGTAACAGCATAGTTGGTGCCTTGCAAGTAAGGGCATATTACTGAAGACGGATCCTTGGTTGAGGCTGGAAGTGGAAGGCAATGTCAGCTCCCTTGTTCAGCTCTACTGGCCCACTCCATCATCATCTTGTTCACATCATAATGGCTTCTCCACCATCCTTCTGGTTCTTGATAGATCTGTGGTGCAACTTGCGCTCCTTCACTCACCCCAGTCCTCCTCAAAATCTCCATTCCCAACCAATCCCAACCACACCACATCAGGTACAACTTCCAGCCCCTGTCTCGAGGCACGTCAGCCACGGGTTACATTCTAACGATTTCTCTGCTGCTGTCAGTGGACATGCAAGTTACCGCAGCCATCCCTACTGGCATGCAGGTGAGCAAAGCATTCTGGACAGCAAGGCATTCTGGTGGGGGGGATGCTTCCAAGTGAAGATTAGGGTGGCTTGAAAGATGGAACGAGGAGTCAAAAGGGGGGAGAAAGGAGAAAAGATGGGGGGAGAGAAGTGAGCAGGGGAGCAACAAGAATGGCATATGCGAAAGCAACTGTTGACTCTGTTACAGTTCTTGCTAACCTGCATTCTCCCCATGCGGCTGTCCTGCCCCGTTGATGCAGGTTGACTGGGAGGCGCTCCTCGCCCCAACACCCGCAGACTTCACAGCTAACATCTCAGAGTGGCTGTACCCTTCACTGACATTCACTCCCGAGTTGGGACAGATTGCAAGCATCAGCCATGCGTTCCCATGCCTTCGTGAGGTTTTCCTTGCTCTCGAATAGCGCTCAGGAGTCAGGTCCCCTACAAGAGCATCTCGTCGCGTTGAAATGGATTTGGAGTGGAATGCAGTAACCCCCGACATCTAACACAAGGCTTGATTACTAACTCAAGACGAGCTCATCCCAATTGTGTCACATTCGATTACCCCCATCATCAATCTGGTGCTTGCTTTGAATTCCATGTGCATCCCCCGTACCGCTTGGTACGAAAAGGGCAGGGTCCTCTTTTCGAAAATTCCTTGTCTGAGCCATCAGACTCTGTTTCAGTATTTTGTCTGAATTTTTGGCGTGTGATTCTCAGACAGAATGGGAAATTATGTCTGAAAGCTTAAACCCCGAGTCTACATTGGTTGGCTATCAAGTTCAGGATTCCTGAACTTGCTTTCGTAAAAGTTGGGGTAACCTAGTGAAGGGTATCAAATTAGAGAAGTGAATGATGATAGAGTGAGAGTACACACAGATATACCTAAGTGTTGTACCCTCTAAGAGGCGACCCTATACAGTCTATACAAACATGACAAATACACATGTTTGACACACCCCCTAGACTGCATAGGGGAATGTCCTAAACAAGCAGCTCAGGGCGGCACTACTAGTCCAACCTCTGAGACAAGGGTCTGAGAGACCAGTCAGAAGTAGTACAAACAAGGCAAGAACAAGAGCAGGGCGGCACTACTAGTCCAGCCACTGGGAGAGGACACAAGTCCAGTCTGAGTATACGTATAAAGGACAGTACAAAGTCAAGGTCCTAGCAAGTGAGAGGCTACAGGAACTAGACCAAGCTGTACACAGTGCCGCTGATGATCTTTAGGCGCAAGCGCCTTTGTAAAGATATCAGCTGTGTTGGCACCTGAGGCCAAGTGTACTACGCGAGCCTGACGTCGCTGCTGTAGCTCACGCAGGAGGAAGTACCGCAGCTGAATGTGCTTTGCTCTGCCCTCGAGTCGAGGCTCCTGACACAGGAGGATCATGGCCCTGTTGTCAGCGAACAGGACCGGGGCAGAGCTAGGCCGCTCACCTAAGTCAGTGAGCAAGAAGGTCAGCCAGCGGAGCTCCTGTGCCGCCATGGCACCAGCGTAGATCTCAGCCTCACAGCTGGACTGCGCAACAGACGAGGAGCGGGTAGCTCTCCACGAGACGGCACCTGAGCCAAGGCTGAAGCAGTAGCCCTGGGTAGACCTGAGTGTCTCAGCGTCGTCTGCCCACGAAGCGTCTGTGTGTCCAGTAAGGACCACTGGCCTGCGTCCTCCTAGCACTAACCCCATGCCCGATGTACTAGCAAGATAACGCAGAACCCTCTTAGCGGCAGACCAGTGCTGCGGTCGGTGTCTGCCTGTGGCCACAAAGCGAGCCAGGATGCTGAGAGGGTATGCGAGATCTGGGCGAGTGCAAGTCATCAGGTACATGAGGCAACCCACCAGCTCTGCGTAGGGGCCGCTGGGCTCTACCAACTCCTCAGACACTGGAGCGGAGAGTCTGTGGTCTACAGGCAGAGGGGTGGGCTGTGCAGAGGAGAACTGAAGGCTGAACCTCTGAAGGACCTGGCGCACCAAGTGTGACTGAGTCAGGGTGATGGTGCGCGCAGCTCTGTCCCTGGAGATCTGCAAGCCAAGGTAACGGCGCAGTTCTCCAAGGTCAGTGCACGTGTGTCTCTTCAGCAGCTCTGCCTTCACGGAGGCCAGTGCGTCCCTGTCTGCTGTGGCAAAGACCAGGTCGTCGACGTAAACAAGGATGTAGAACGGAGTCTGGCCAGCACGAACGAATAGTGAAGGGTCTGCGGAAGACGGAAAGAACTGCAGGTCAGCAAGCGAAGCACAGAGTGTGTCATGCCACGCACGGGGAGCCTGGCGCAGGCCGTAGACGGGGCGCCGCAGGAGCCACTGGGTCCCAGGAGGGAAGGTGCCAGTAAAGCCCTGAGGACGACGCAAGTAGACCTGCTCGTGTAGGCTGCCCTGAAGGAAGGCAGTGGAGAAGTCGAGGGAGTGGAGCTCGTAGTCACGCTGAGCAGCTACGTGTAACAGAACCCGAAGAGTAGTCATCTTCGGGGTCGGAGCGAAGGTCTGGAAGAAGTCCACCCCCTCACGCTGACTGAAGCCTCTAGCCACATAGCGCGCCTTGAAGACATGCGGCTCTCCAGGAGGGCGCTTCACCTTGAAGAGCCAGCGGCCATCGACTACGTTCACCCAAGGTGGGGGAACTGCGTCGACGAAGGTGCCGGTGGATCTCCAAGATGCCATCTCCTGCTCCATGGCAGCTATCCACTGCGAGGCCCAGGGTCCCGAAGTCGCCTCAGCGTAAGTGCGAGGGGTCGGGATGTCGAAAGCGTCTGGGTCACCCTCAGGGACTAGCAGCATGGAACAGAGATGGGGAGAAGCCTCGGACAGGAAAGCAAGCTCGAACTGGCGGTCCTCCAGGACGTCACTGCCAAGGGCAGGAGCACCCCCGACAGACGGAGGACAGGCAGGGTCAGAGACCAGAGCGGAGGCGTAGTCAAGGCGGCGGGTAGAGGCGAAGTCAGCGACAGCAGCGACAAGAGCGTCAAGGCACGAGGCCGGAACAGACGGGTCGGTAACGAGAGAGGCAAGGACCCGAGGAACAAGGGGACGAGCGGCACGAAGGTAGTCAGACAGCGGGGGGGATGCAACAACAAGGGAGGATGGAGGAGGCGACGGCAGAAGGGGAGGACGAGACGCGTGGGAACGAAGCAACATAGGGTGGGAGCGCAAGACAGGCGAGGCAGGACGAGCACGGGAGGGACGGTGAGACCAGACGTGCGACGGAGGAGTCGGGTCAGGAGACAGGGGAGGGGACACAGGAGGGGAACGAGGGGGAAGACGGGCCGGGGACGAGTCCGGTGGAGGGAAGACAGGGCCGTAGACAGGAAGAGGAGGAGACGGTCGGGGAGGAACCGACGCAGGGTCGGGGGACGGAAGGCCGAGCAGGCGAAGGGCTGACACCGGCGGGGACTGCTGCTGCGGCGGCACAACGGCGACACCAGGACCGCAAGCTGCTCGTCGGCTACCAACGGCACTCTCCACACCAGCACCCGTAGAGGGACCACCCCCAGGGCTACCAGGACGAGCACCCCCAGAGTCAGCGAACGGGTGCTGCGACGGCGGCGGCGGCGGCGGCGGCGGCGGCCGCGACAACGACGGCTGCAGCGGCGGCAGCGGCGGTGGAGGGGGGGACTGGGGAGAGGACGCCAGGGGAGGGGCGGCCGGCGAGGACTGAACAGGAGGGCCACCAGAGTCAGAAGACTCCTCAACCGGGTCCACCGACGGAAGCGGGGTGACGTGGGACACACCAGAGGGGGCGGGACGGGGAGGAGGAGGAGGAGGGGCAGGGACGACCGGGGAAGGAGTGACCAGGAACAGGGGGGGGGTAACCGGGGGACCACGGTGGGGGAAGCGACGGTAGTAGGAGACAGACTCGTCAAAGGTGACGTCACGAGAGTGAAAGAAGCGGTGAGACGGCGGGTGGTAAAAGTGCCAGTCGGACGTGTCAAGGGGAAAACCGAGGAAGACGCAGGGAAGGGTGCGGACAGTGAGCTTGTCCGTGCCGGAGGCACGGACATGAGCAAGGCAGCCCCAGACGTGGAACGCAGGCGCGTCACCAGGAGACCCAGTCCAAAGACGGGTCGGCGAAACCTGCGGCTGCTGAGGGTGCGGCCACAAGTTAAGCTGGTGAGAAGCGTAGCGCACAGCGAACGGCCACAGAAAATGGGGTGCACCAGCATGGATCATGGAGGTGCGAGCCACCTCCATGACCAAACCGATGCGTCGCTCAGCGACCCCATTCTGCTGTGGGGAGTCCGGTAGGGTGAACGTCTGGGTGATGCCCTCCGCACGACAAAAGCGACCAAGGACACCTGAGGCAAACTCGCCACCACGGTCTGAGTGAAGACGCAAGACAGGGAGACTGCGGTGGACATGCGCAGAGACAAGCCAGGGGATGAGAGCTCCAGGCACGTCGGCCTTGCGCTCCAGGGGAAAGACTGTGGTGTAACGAGTGAAGTCGTCGACAAGCACAAGGAAGTAGCGCTCTCGACGCGGCCTAGGGACGGGGGCGGGGCCCCATACGTCCAGGTGCAGGGTCTGCAGCGGCGCGGCGGTAGGGGGAAACGAGGAGGAGTGAGGGGCACGGCGAAGCCGACCCTCGACACAAGGCGTGCAAGGTGGGGCTGGGGAGGAGGGAAACGCGGGGAGGGAACCTGGGAGACCAAGGACAAGACCGTGCTGGGACATGTGACGCAGACGCGGGAGTGCAGGGTGACCTAGGCGGTGGTGCCAAAGGAGGGTCGGGTGAGTGAGGGACCGACAGGAGCAGGCAGCAGCAACCTGGGTGAGCGCTCCAGCCGGGGGGGTCACGGTGTCCAGAGTGAACAGGCCGGACACCGGGTCCCGGGGGAACGTGGACAGGGGGGCACCAGTGGCGGCCTCGGTACAGACAGCATACCGCTCGTGACCAGGGAACGTAGTGGTGACGCCAAGGTCCTGCAGGCAGCCGACACCAACTAGGTTCCTGGAGAACGAGGGGATATGCAGACCTGTGAGAGTGCCCGAAGGAACCGCCGGACAGGGAAGGGTGGTGGAACTGCGGGCGACTACCGGACCGCCGGAGGGGTCAGCAAGAGAAACGGCAGCTGGAACAGGAAGCGGCGTCAGGGTGGTGGAGTCGCGGAAGAAACACCGAGAAGCGCCAGAGTCCAAGGTGAAGGAAAGCGAAGCAGAGGCGTCTGGCGACGGAACGACGGCGGAAGCACCAAGACTACACAAAGCAGGAGATCCACCGCCTGACGCAGCAGGGGAGGCTAAGCTAGGCACACCTACACTAGGCAACAGTGAGTAATAGGCGGGAAGCACACTAGAGTCATCAGCATACATCACATGCAGAGCAAAAACAATGGCATCCATGTCCATATCAAAAATCTGAATCTTACGACTAAGCAAACTGTGCTAGTCCGGGAGGTATGGCGACGGGCCGAAGCGCTGACGAAAGAGGTCGTCCAGGCGACGAAAACAGCGGGGAGTGGAGTGACCGATCTTACCGCAAACGAAGCCGCGGCGAGTACCGGTCTGGATCTGGTACTGACAACGCCCGCCGCCAGAGCCACCACTCGGCACACCACCACGC